TTCTGGTAATTTTCTGGTGACTGAAGGATGAACTATTGAAGTTATCACATAGCAGGTTGCATCCGAATTCTGTTGAGACAGATATTTGGCACTTGAGATAAACTCTTAGAGGTTATAAAAGACGCTAAGATGTTGTAGATGCTTCATTTGGCATTCAGGCCCATCTGATATCTCATTTATTCATTCAGATTCAGTCGGTAGGTAGACTATTGATCCATGAAGACAATCATGGTGGAACTTATATGCTAGTGAGACATGGTTCATGAATCGGTTCTGAGTTTAGCCTTCAACTATAAGTAGTTGGAGCTTGTTAGCAGACAAGCAACTGTATGCATATGTGGAATGCTATGGTGGATCTGCAAGCTAACTATTGTGAAATCATATCATGACTTTGGAGATGTTTATTATTATTAGTTGACTCATTCTTTTCGTGTGATGTGTTTGGAGTGTAGGCAGTACTAGCTCACGTACAATCTGGGGAGCCTTAGGGTTTTGCACATACACGCTATTCAATTTGAAAGGGTATATACGCTCTCTCCTCTCAAAAGACAGATCGAATAGTTACATTGTGAGTATTGTGACGCTGAAAGAGCTTAGCTCTTCTCTTTCCGTTAGTTTAAAAGTTTTTGACACATCTCTTCTTTGTGTAACATCTAATACTAGCTTACTATCTATTACTGCCCTAGTAGCACTCTGGCTTGCTATCTATTACTGCCTAGAAAGGATAGCATTGTGTTCTTGAGATTATGGCACTGTTTGGTACCATTTTTTTTGAGGTGGCGGTCGACAGAAGCAAATAATACAAATAATCTCACCAAATGTTTTGCGGTTTGCTCGATTCTCACTACAGCACCAGCCTCTCCATCGGACGAGATTTGTACTGCGTGAGCGGTTTTATGTATCACAGGCCGCACCGCGTGGTTAGATTACGTGTAACCAAACAGGACCTATATTTCTTTTTATTATTTATTGTGGTGGGTCGATCTATCTTGTGCGTAGATGTTGGAGCAAGCAATAGTTTAGAATCATTTCGTATCACTCGTCTACACGTGTGGTAAAAACATATCTATTGAATTTTGTAATCTTAGTTCGTCCACCTTTCACCGTCGGTCCTCACTGGAAATTCTAGACAAGATTGGGTTTTCGATCAGGTACTAGAATTTGATCCGCTGCAAAGTTTTAAAGTTTTAGGCTACATTTATTCAGCCCTCTCTAGACCTTGTGATCTTTTCATCATGAGTAAAACATACCCAAATTTTGGTAGAGATCTAACGAAAATCGCTTCTCCATTTATATCGTAAAGAAGAGTTTTGCTAAAAAAACCGCTCTACATTTAATACCCACCATAGTTATTTCCAACCTACTCCTCATAGTGCTCCCGCACTAAAATTACTCCATCATAAAATCAACAAACCGAGGCTAAAATTTTATAAAGCGAAGCTCTACCAAACTGACGTGTTTGGTTTGAAGATTTGATGGGTGGGATAGATCCGACCTAGTTTCTAGGGATGGAACTGTTCTTTTTTTGGTCAAGTCCCGTCTGTTTTGACTTTTGAGTTTTTAGGAATACTAGGTAGCGTGCTCGTGTGTTGCTACGGAATAGTTAATATTTTATACTAAAAACACACGGATCGCACGATAAGATAATAATACTATAAAAATTAAATATCAATGTTAAAGTGACATTTAATAAAAAAAAACAAAGTGTGTAAAATTAACACAAGTCACGGAGAGCGCGGCGTCGCAGGCTCACAAACTCTACTTTATAGATCTTTTCCGTGATGTGGCTAAGATAATGTTTTATATTGGTCGGAAGAAATCTCCGATATCCATTTCTTTCGTGCGCCAATAATTACCAATGTTGAATATCTGGATTCGGATACGGATAGATCTAAACCCTCTAAACAAATCCGGTCTCGAATAATTGTCCAAAAATATCCGTACCGCTTTCACCCCTACTTATAATAATGCCTAAATAAATGGATTACAAATTACATCCACCTAGGTTCATATGCAATAGACAAATTACATCCGCAAGGTCCATAGCTCCAACAAGTTAGAAAATAATAAAAAAATCCAGAATTAAAAATTGAATTGTCTTAAGAACTAAAACAAACTATAACAGTTTTGCTGAGCCGCTAGTGGTCATGCTTGTCTGAAATTAAACTACATGCTGATCAACAGTATTGGACGAAATGGTCTATTTAAATGGCCACAGGATAAACCGTATATTTGAACAAACTATATGAGTTTGATAGCTATTGCTCCAAGGCCCTGCAAATGGTAATATGTCAAAGAAAGTTAACCTTCCAAACTAACAAATATGTATTAAGGTAGCGTGCCCGTGCGTTGCTACGGGATAGCTAAACTTTTATACTAAAAATACATGGATCGCACGATAAGATAACAATACTATAAAATTAAATACCGACATTAAAGTGACATTTAATCTAAAAGGCAAAGTTCGTGAAATTAACACAGTCACGGAGCGTGGCATCGCAAGCTCACAAACTCTACTGCATAGACTTTTCCGTGATGCGACTAAGATAATATTTTATATTGGCAGAAAGAAATCTCCGATATCTATTTCTTTCATACGCCAATAAATCCACGAATAAGTTCTGCCGCATCTTCATACCATCATGTACACAAGTTCGAGTATATATATAAATATTAATTCCTATCACATGGGTAATACTACGTGTCTTGAAAAATCTCTTATAATATCTTAAGTATGTTATACTCACCATATAAATATGTGTGGCTTTAGGACTATTTTACGCAGACATATACTGTAGAATAAGGTATCCACTTAGTGTTTATGACAAGATTCACCATCAACAATATATATAAATGGTTAAATCATAGGTATTATTATTGCAAGCGACGGATAAAAATAAATTAGAGGTTATTATAATTGTACATTTGATTCTTCCTAGTTTTTTAAGATGATGATGTCCAAGGTAAACTTCAAAATATATCATTTTCTTGCATTGTGTCTGGGTACAAGCTAATTCACTATAAAATAATAATTGGAATTTTCTCTAGTTTGAAATTATAAGATATTTTGTTTTTTCTAGATATATTGTTTTAATTACGTATATCTAAGCGTATAAAAAAAGTTATATATCTAGAAAAGCCAAAGCGTCATATAAGTTGGAATTGAGAAAGTAATTTTCCGTAGATTCATTGGTCCACTCTAAATTAGTTAGAAACACTTTCACAGGGAGAAATTATCTGCTCAGAAATCACAAATTCAAGTTTTCCCCCCTTATAACACAAAGGTTTTTAAATTTGCTTCACAAAGTCAATCGTCAACTCTTCATTGAGGCGCGATGGCTGTCAGTTTTACTACCTCCCAAGCACCATCCAGTTCCAGCCAATCTCTAAATGTCTAAAGTTTTCAACACCGTGTAAGCATCATTCCATGCTCGATTTTCAACAAGCTCTGCTTTCTAAACCATTCTCTCCAAACTATACAACCTCCCCGTTGCATGATCCCAGGACCTCACTGCTCCGTGCAAGTAGTTTGGGCACAAAGAAACCATCTGCTCATCATCCAGCCTTAGGAGTAGCATGTAATTCTGAAATCATGACACATATTAGAATTCTTGGGACATGTCTACACGAGAACCAAGACATGAAGAGATGTGATTGGTAAAGAATGGAGAGAGAATGTATGTGGTTGAATAAAAAATTGTTCTGTACAAACTATCCATTAGGACCATGGTTTATATATGTAGTGTCTATGAAAATTAATAGGTATAGCATTGTGACTACCATAATATATTATAGAAACACCATAATAACTATTTTTTTCACATGTAGAAGTACAAGATTGAGAAGCAAATTGTTAAGCTTGTTTGGCTAATCTATGAGCATCTTGTTTAAATATTCGTTAATAAATCGTGGAAAGATAATGTCCAATTAATCAAAATGTACAAGTCAGAGCATGGGCGAGGGAGGGCGTGAGGGCGGAGGCTGGTGCGAGCGAGGATGAGCTAAGCTAGCGAGGGTGGGAGCTATGGCGAGGCCACATGATTTATAGCAGATGATTGATTGCAGTCTCTCTGTTTCCTTTTGTCTTAATTTTCTTCCCTTCTATGTTAATTCTCTTTTTTTTACTCGTTGCCATGTATGATGGTGCATGCAAACATGCAATGTGTATATGAATAGCACAATAATTTTCTACTTTCTATTTTGCAAACATGCAATATTCAATCAAAGAGACAAATCGCGGGCTTTTCTTTTCTCGCTCGCTCCTTTTCTTTTCTCGCTCGTCCGTTGGACAGCGATGGGAGGTGGGATCCATCGCATGGGGTGGCAGACGGACGAACCAAGACAATTATCGCACCAAAACGATGTCCACATTTTATTCTTTTTAGTTGTAGGAGAAGTAGATATAGTGGGACGGATGGACCCGTTAACTCACACCGTTACCAGGAGCCAGCGGGCCCCACCTGGCATATTCTAATCTACCCATTTCTTTTCTCTTCCTCCGTAGTATGCCTTATCCTCCCGAGCCGTACTCGCCTCCCGACGGAACTCGCCGCCGCCCGACCCGTGCGTGCTCCACTCCTGGTGCCGCAGCTCATCCTCCCCGAGTCCGGCGTGCAGTCCCCCTCAAGTGGACGCCGAGCCTGGCGACTTCCAAACCCGCCTAAATAAAAGCGAGACTTTTCACATGTGCCATTATAAAATATCGTAATCGCCGAGCCTCTGCTAGCGCACATCTCCTCGAGCCGCATCCATGGAGGTCGCCAGTGCTGCACCCTGAGTCCGAAGCGTGCAGGTCCAACCTGACTCCGTGACGGATAGAAGCAACGTCCCTCCAGGACCCCAGGCCCGGCTCCGAGTCCAAACCCGGCCCAACCAAATAAAGGCCAAGGAGAAGCATCAACCCAACGCGCAAGCAAAGTTTTTCGTCCGTCCCCGACCCCGTCGCCGCGACCGAGAGCTCCAGCCTCCAGAGGACGCCGCCGCCACAGTCTCCACCGCCCATGGATCCGAAGATGACGGAGGTGACCCAGATGTTCGCCCGCTTCAAGGCGGCATACGCCCGCAACGACCTCGACGCCTGCGTCACCCTCCTCTCGCAGCTCAAGGTGCGGTAGCCGGCCTCGCTGGATCTGTCTCGCCCGCCGTTCACTTCCCGAGGTTTCAGTTTCTCCGGGGGATTTCGCGGGTATATGTTATGGGGTTTGGGGGTGGGATTTCAGGCTGACGCCATGAAAGATGCCATTTTTACCTGTGGTTCGATAGTTAAGAGGGGATGCCTGTTATCTTAGAAAAAAAATTCGGCTTAGCCTGATCTGGAGACGCCGGCGCGATTGGTTTCGCCGTGTTTGGGCCGCTTTCGATCTAGTTTCTAGGGTTTGTTTCGTGGATGTCGTCGTAGTTTGCACTCTGAAGCGGTTTACAGGGAGAAAGGACAGAGTCTAGCAGGTTTTTGTAAAAAATGTCCTGTCCCCTTGTGCCTCCTTACTTTAATTAGATCCGAGTGTGTACAGATCTGCCCTGTAGTAACTTTAGGTTTAGTTATATCTGTAGCAGAAACCTTTTCAAACTTTACTGGTCACAATTGAGTTGCCAGTTTGGTTTTGCAGGAGAAACTCACAGAATTCAATGAATTACCTTTGGATTTCCCTGTTATTTACATGTGAAACGCCTTATTTTTGCAGGTCCATCTCACCAAATTCCCCAGCCTTCCGCCCTCGTTTCAGCAGACACCGAACGCCGTGGAGGAGCTCAAACTTGCAAGTAAGATGGCCTTGGGCCTCATGTTTTTGTATCAGTCAATGCCATAGCGATCCCATAAATGCTCTAGTATATGCAAATTTGCATTCTTGAGTATTCACATTGCTAATTCATGGATAGTGTTGAGCACCATAATGGATATCACATTTGATGCATATGTGTGCATGCAACATAAGCTGTTCTTAAGTTATGTTTTCTTCCTTGTGACTAAGCTATTTAGTAATTTAGTAGTAGAAAAGATCCTGAGGCCCATAAACTGTTATGCAGTTTTTCTAGTTGTCCTTCAACAGAGCAAGTTTTAAACTAACACAAAACATTTCAGGGGATATTTATGAGCATGCTGTTGTTTTGAGTGTGAAACTTGAGGACCAAGATGCATTTGAACGCGATTTCTGCCAGCTCAAGCCTTATTACATGGATACATGGTTAGTTTCTTGTCACCCAATTTTTCGATTTTATTTGCCTTTATTACCTTGGTTTCTAATTTCTTTAGACTGAATTCATGTGATGTTTTGAGTAATAAAAGTTTAAAGCTGGCTGTGAAAGGCATATTTTTCTTATATTATACACAACAATATTAAAATTTGATGTGCCTGCGTTTGTAAATTGAGATACGAGACTAGTGGAACTGAAGGACTTATTTGAGTTGTTTAACTAGTCTTAAGTCTAAGTAACAAGTAAACCTGACACTATCGGTTGGATCCATCATATTATCAAGTAGTTTTAAGTATTAACTAGAAAACAAAGCGCGGCGTTGCCGTGCCTCTGTAGAGTGCCGGCTATTGTGAAGCTGCATTTTTTGTGAAGTTCAAAAAGGAACTAAAGGTTAGTAAAGACTAAATATTTAAGGACGTTATTCTGAGCAAGGAAATGTAAAAAAAATATGAGAAATTCAATTTGACCTTTATTTTCTTTCATTCTAATGGATATATGTCCATCTCGTGATGACCATGTTAACATTAGTATTATTTATGTCATGATGGTTCTTGATACCAAATAGAAAACTATGTTCACAGATATCAGAATAATTGTCTCAGTCCTTGTCACAGATAGCCGTGTTAACTAAAGCTTCTGGCAGCCACGGACGTCCATGTTCATTTCCCTTAGCCATAGCTCCTTCTGCCCCCTACATGCAAAGTGCAAGTATCTTTGTGATGCACAGAATGTAAATACAGAATAGGAAGAATCAGAAGAAGAGGGGGGAAAGGCGATCCCATCTCTTAGTGGTATGATTGTAGAAGAGAATCAAGGCATCGATATCAAACAAATTATCTATTAGTTATGCCACAAACTTCGTAACTAAGTAGACGGTTGTCAATACTTGAGGCCAACATTGCTGACTTAGACTCTGTCTAATATAGAAATCCTAAGATCAGAATGCAAGCCTAGTAATAGGACTTGGGACAAAGCTATAAATTATGTGTAATAAGAAATTTGTTATCAATTTCAAGTTTTCAACGTGAAACGTCTGTTAAGATTGACTAAGTGGAAGTATATTTATCAATCCATACCTGTGTCAGAGTTAGTAGGTCTGCAAATAAAAGCACCTAGCAATTGGTTATGACTTATGAAATGATGTCATCTTTGTCCTGTGTTGAGAGAACTTTACATTTGGGAGAAACAGTTGCCTGCACATCATGTATGACATGTGAGACAACTATTTGAACAATGGATACTAAACTAGTGGTACTGAAGGACTTATTTGAGTTGTTTAACTAGTCTAAGTGACAAGTAAACCTGATGTTTCGGTCGGATCCATCAGATTATCATGTAGTTTTAAGTATTATAATTCAGTCAGCATTTATTAGTTTTCATTGCACTGAAGTTGCTAAAACGAGTTCAAATTACCATTATGTGTAGGCTTGCCTTTCTAGGACCCAAAATATATTCATAAGTAACTATGAATACAATCGAACATTACCTCCTGGGTATTTTTTTTTTCAGGAGCATGCCAGAATAGTATTATGCTAAACAATGTAAGTTTGATACAAAATGATATTTATTTATTTATGCAGTGGCATAATTCCCCCATCAGCAGAGGAGTACCCAATTTTGGGACTCAATCTTCTGAGGCTGTTGGTTCAGAATAGAATTGCCGAGTTCCACACTGAGCTGGAACTTCTACCTGTCAAGGCACTTGAGCATCCTTGCATCAAGCATGCGGTAGAGCTTGAGCAATCCTTCATGGAGGGTGCCTACAACAGAGTGTTAAGCGCTCGGCAGGCTGTGCCACATGAGACCTACGTTTACTTCATGGACCTTCTTGCCAAAACAGTTAGGTGAGTGGGCTTCTGTTACTCCTGGTTATTTGATTGTTTGATTTTATCTTAATGGAGATGCTATTGTGTTTTTCTGCTCTCACAGAGATGAGATCGCTGGGTGCAGCGAAAAGGGGTATGATTCCCTATCTGTAAGTGATGCAAAGCAAATGCTTATGTTCAGTTCTGACCAAGATCTGCACGAGTACATCACAGAGGTAGTTTTAGTCTTTTAATTTCCTCCCTCCTTTTTCTGAGTGTATTTCTATGTGAAATCGTATGATAGTCTAATCTTGTGAATATCGTTAACAGGAGCACCCGGAATGGGAAATTACGAACGGTGCTGTCTTCTTCCAGAAGGCGAAGGAGTCGCAGCCCTGCAAGGAGATCCCATCCTTGCAGCTCATCAACCAGACGCTCAGCTACGCAAGGGAGCTGGAGCGTATTGTATGATTTAATTTCACAGTAATCCCTGGTGGATGTTTATTTCTGTGGTCACTTGGCATGGCCTGTACTGTCCTTTACGTTTGAGATCAGCTCTGATCGCCGCTCTGAACTGTCTGAAACGTCATGTGAATCTCTGAAGGGCTCAATCCCCCGGCATTGGTTTGTTAACTCCATTTGTATTTCACCACATTAACTGCATTGTTTGAAATATGCTCGGCATTCACTGCTGCTGTGAACTTCTGGTGGGCTTAGATTGAATTACTACGTCGAATTGCACTGATTGTGTTTTTTTTTTAAAAAAAAAAAAAAGAGGGGGTGTGGTGTACTGGTTATGTTGACAAGATTAGTCATACTAAACATACATCCCTTCTTAACTGAAGGGAAGAAGTCTTATTTTGGTTTGGTGGTGTGGTTAAAACACACAATTTAACCTGTTTATTATGTTCTGTAAAGGGGAGGTTTACCAATGAGAATTAACGAACGGGATCAAAGTCATGCACACCTTTTTCATGTGTCACTGACAATAAATTGGAACTGGCTCTTGTCTGAAAATATCCTATTGAGTTACTGGGAGCGGTTGATTTTCGCTCACTGTTATTTTTTTTAAAATACTTAAATTCCAAAATCAGGTGCTTTCTCTTTTCGGTCCATAGCAAAGGCATTTTTTCCGTTATGGCACGCTAGCGCATCCTGTAGCTTTAGACGAGGTACTCTATCAATCACAAATAGTGACAATTTAAGGTTTTAAGCCTGTTTGGCACAGCTTACAACAATTTTATGAGCTATTGTTTGCTTTTTTTTTTTTCCTAAACACTCATTTTCATAACAGCTTCGTGAGTGAAACTATTTTTCTCCTCTCACAAAAACATGAGTTAGGATGAAGCTAAAATAGTAGCTTATCCTAGCTCTCTTGCTTATAAGTTATTTTTGATGAAGCTATTTTGTTAAACACTTTTTTCAAAATAGCCCACTTTACTAAAAACGCTACTTGTAAAGCTGTTTTTCCCAAAAACAGCTTCACTAGTGAAGTTGAGCTGTGTCAAACAGGCTCTTAAAAATTTAACTATTACTTCTATTATAATTATATTATAAAATATAGAAAAATATATTTTTAATAAAAATATTTCTTAAGACAAATATATTTGTATCACTTTCAAATATGTGACGAACACAAATGGTGGACTTTAGACAACTCCACTTATTTGCAACTAGAGGGAGTAATAGTATTGGTAAAAGTTTCGTGCCCCTGTTTTTAGGGTTTCACTAGTATTGGAGTAGCAACAGTGAAGTAAATGGGGGATGCACATTTTACTATAATTCATCTAATTTTGTTACCGTCGGCATGTCTTCACCAACTCAACTTGGAGGACATTGAGTCCATGCTCATGTGTACATGAGGAAGATCAAGTCATATAAATATGCCCCTTCATAATTTGAATTTTGTTTTCAAAATTTTGACATTAAAATAATTATTTAATTTGCTTTTTCTCTAAAAAATCAAGTTGGACCTTAATTAAAAGAATTTGACCTCTATATGTCCATCATCACCTATGATATATGTTATCTTTAGTTAAAATAATCTTAAGCATACTTGTCGGTGCAGAAAGTGACCAACACGTAAATATTTATAGTTTTGCCATACGTTGTGATTGGATGTGGCCTAGCACTCAATGACACAGGGTTTATACTGGTTCAGGCAACATGCCCTACGTCCAGTTTGAGTCGGTCGATGAATTTATTCCTGAGCCCATGTGCTCGAAGTTTGTTGTGGGGTTACAAACGGAAGGGAGTAAGATGGGGGGTGCAAGAGGTCCGGTCGGACTCCGGACTGAAGGGCCGAGAGTGACGGGACCTCCTACGTGCGCTAAGTATTCGAGCGTGTGCTCTGTGTAGCTTTAGAGTGTCTAAAGCTAGCAGAGGGTGAATCGATCGTTGGTTGTTCGAATCGTTCGAGTCCTCCCTTGGAGAGTTGTCGATGGATCGATCCTCTTTGTTGGGAGGGAGCACATCCCCTTTTATAGATGAAGGGGATGGGCTTACAAGCGCGCGCGAGAGAGAGAGTACGTATACTACTAAGTCTTGTTGCCCATGCCATTGGGTACAAGATGATGGTAGACACCCACAATACTGTTTGTGTCAGACGCATGTGGGAGGTTTTACCGCATTCACCATGTATGGCAAATGACGGCGCCCACAACACTGTCGATGTCCAGAGGCATGTGGGGGGGTTTATCGTGTTCGCCTGGTATGGGAATTGATGGCGCCTAGAACACTGTAGGACAAATGTCGGCGCCCATAACACTGCTTGGGTTCTGACAAGCCTGGAAGGTTGCAGGGCACCCTTCTGACATGTCCTGTCGGTACTGTCCTGCAGGTGTATAGGGTATGGTCCTTGGTATTGCTTTTGACTTGAGCATCCTACCTTACTTGCTCTGTCTATTTCCTGGGTTCTCACCGAGCGGGCGTTCCCGGTCGGTTGGTCCCAGTCGGCTCCGACTGCGCCAGTCGGAGAAGAGCTGTAAGCAGAGGTTCGATGCATCCCCGGTCGGAGACGCGGGTCGAGTCGGAAGCGGTGTTGGCTAGGCTTTCCGGTCGGAGAAGCGGGTTGTAGCCGGAAGCGAGCGTTGTTCCTCCTCAGCCAGGCCTTCCGGTCGGAGAGGTGGGTCAAAGTCGGAAGTGAGGCCTCTCGGTCGGAGAGGCGGGCCAGAGTCGAAAGCGAGCACCGTTCCTCCTTGGCCAGGTCTTCCGGTCGGAGAGGCGGGCCGGAGTCGAAAGCGAGCGCCGTTCCTTCTTGGCCAGCCTTTCCGGGTGGAGATTGGATCTCCTTTCTGGCCTGTCGTTAGGTTTTTGGGCCAGCCCAAGAGTTGCGTGTCGTTCGCAACGTCGTCTGCTGGGCCGAGCCTTTGCTGGGAAGCAGATCCATGAGGACCCCGGGTTTATGAACTCGACAGGAACCCCCGAGCCCTCGGGCGATTTGAGTAGAATCGTCTGGGGGATTTTTGTCTTGACAGCGGGTGTGCGCGAGCGCACCCGCGGGTGTTGCCCCCGAGCCCCCGGGTGATTCGGGTAGAATCACCTAGGGGAGTTTTGTCAGCGGAGGAATTTTTTGTTTCTACAGCGGGTGTAGCCCCCGAGCCCCTGGGAGATTAGGGCAGAATCACCTGGGGGTTTTGTCAGCGGGCGTGAGTGTGTGCACCTTGGTGGGCGTAGCCTCCTCTTCCCAGTTTCTGACCCATCGTTTTCCAGGAGTGCGGTCCTAGGCGTTTGGTTGCGGCCGAGGGACTGGGTGAGACGGAGTTGTCAACCAGTGCATCGGGCGCGCCGAGGGTTCGGGCATGTCGGGGTCGCGCACCCAGTGTCGGGCATAGCCGAGGGACAGCCAAGGGATAGGGTGAGATGGACTCATGGACCCAGGCGTCGGGCGCAGCCGAGGGATCGGACGAGATGGACTCGTGGATCCAGGCGCTAGGCGCAACGAGGGATCGAGCGAGTCGAGTCACGGATCCGGACGCTGGGCGCAACGAGGGATCGGGCGAGTCAGAGTCGCGGATCCAAGCGTCGGGCGCAACGAGGGATTAGGCGAGACGGAGTCGCGAACCTAGGCATCCGGCGCAGTCAAGGGACTGGTGATGGATCGGGCGAGACAAACTCGTGGACCCAGGCGTCGGGTGCAACGAGGGATCAGGCCAGTTGGAGTCATGGATCCAGGCGTTGGGCGCAACGAGGGATCGGGCAAGTCGGAGTCGTGGATCCGGCGTTGGGCGTAATGAGGGATCGAGCGAGATGGAGTCGTGGACCTAGGCATCGGGCGTAGCCGAGGGACAGCTGAGGGATCGGGCAAGACAGACTCGCAGATCCAGGCGTTGGGCGCAACGAGGGATCGGGCAAGTCAGAGTCGTGGATCTAGGCGCTAGGCGCAATGAGGCATCGGGTGAGTCGGAGTCGAGGATCCGAGCGCTGGGCGCAATGAGGGATCGGGCGAGTCGGAGTCGTGGATCCAGGCGTCGGGTCGCAGCGGAGGGATCGGGCGAGATGGACTCGTGGACCCAGGCGTCGGGCGCAATGAGGGATCAGGCGAGTTGGAGTCGTGGATCTAGGCGCTGGGCGCAACGAGGGATTGGGTGAGTCGGAGTCACGGATCTAGGTGCTAGGCGCAACGAGGGATCGGGCGAGTCGGAGTCACGGATCCAGGCGTCGGGCGCCATGAGGGATCGGGCAAGACGGAGTCGCGGACCCAGGCATCGGGAGTAGCCAAGGGATCGGGCGAGATGGACTCGTGGACCCAGGCGTCGGGTGCAGCCAAGGGACAGCTGAGGGATCGGGCGAGATGGACTTGCGGACCCAGGCGTCGGGCACAGCTGAGGGCTCGGGCGAGATGGACTCATGGACCCAGGCATTGGGCGCAAAGAGGGATCGAGCGAGTTAGAGTCACGGATCTAGGCGCTGGGCGCAACGAGGGATCGGGCGAATCAGAGTCGTGGATCCAGGCATCGGGCGCAACGAGGGATCGGGCGAGATGGAGTCGCGGACCTAGGCATCGGGCACAGCCGAGGGGTAGCTGAGGGATCGGGCGAGATGGACTCATGGACCTAGGCGTCGAGTGCAGCCGAGGGACAACCGAGGGATCAGGCGAGATGGACTTGCGGACCCAGGCGTCGAGCGCAGACGAGGGACAGCCGAGGGATCGGGCGAGTCATAGTCGCGGATCTAGGCGCTGGGCGTAATGAGGGATCGGATGAGTTGGAGTCACGGATCTAGACATCAGGCGTGCTAAGGGATTGGGTGAGTCAGAGTCGTGGATCCAGACGTTGGGCGTGCCGAGGGATCGGGCGAGTCGAAGTCATGGATCTAGGCGCTAGGCGCACCGAGGGATCGGGCGAGTCGGAGTCGCGGATCTAGGTGCAGCCGAGGTCATGCTAAGGTGTTGGGCGTCCCGAGCCCCCGAGCCCCATTGGGCTCAAAAGGGGTTGGTTGAGTTTCGCGTGTTACCCCATCCACGGTTTCCG